TAACAATCCATAAACACCAGAAGATAAACTAGATAATTGGGAGCTCCTAAAAATTAAACGCTTATGCTCATCAAAAGACTTCACCAAAAGAGTAAAAAGAGAACCTACAAACTGGTAAAAGAAAATTTGACTATGACATATCCGACAAGGGAATAATCTATAAAATTTATAGAAAACGTCAACATTTCAACAATAAAAAGACAGTCCAGTTAAAAAATGGGCAAAGGATATGAACAGACACTTAACCAAAGAAGACATTCAGGCAGCTAACAAACATGAAGAAATACTTGCAATTATTAGCTATTAGAGAGATGCAAATCAAAACTACAATGAGATATCTTCTCATCCTGACATTACTGGTATGAATCCAAAAAAAAAAAAACACACACCAGAAAATAACAAATGTTGGTGAGGTTGCGGGGAGATTGGAACTCTTATACACTGCTGGTGGGAATGTAAAATGTTACAAACACTATGGAAAACTATATGGCACCTCCTTAAAAAGCTAGAAATATAAATACGATACAATCCAGCAATCCCACTCCTAGGAATATATCCTAGAAAAATAAAAGCCATCACACAAATAGACATATGCACACCCATGTTCACTGCAGCATTATTCACAATAGCAAAAAGATGGAAACAAAACCTAAGTTCCTATCAACAGATGAATGGATTAACTGTGGTACATACACCATACACACAATAGAATACTATGCAGTGGTAAAGAATAATGACGAATCCACAAAACATCTCACAACATGGATGAATTTGGAGAACATTCTGAGTGAAATAAACCAATCACAAAAGAACAAATACTGTTTGAAACCACTACTATAAAGTAACAACAAAAGATTTACACACAGGAAGAAAAAAACATTATTTGATGGCTACTAGGGACGGGCGGGGGAGAGAGGGAAAATCACCGATTGGAAGACACGAGTTAATATTGGTGAAGGGAAAGGCAATATATTATATGGGGGAAGTCAGTACAACATGACCAAGGCAAGAGAAGACACAGAGAAGAACATAAAAATAAAGGGCATCTATGGTAATTACCATAGCTTAGACAATACTGTAGCAATAGTAATAACAATTTGCGAATGGACAAATAGGTAGATAGATATGCCAAGAGGTGTGGGAAGATGTAAGGGAACATACCCACCAGCAACTATAAGCGTGGTGGTAGATATTTCTACATACATGATTGTAGGTGCAGCTCATATAGAACGCAAAAAGTAAAGTCAGGGAAACCGCTTAGATATAACCAAACACCTCACGGGATAAAGTTCCTACGCTAGAAGACAAAGGACCATCTACTCCGGATCATCTACATCAATTGGCACAACATAGAACATAAAGACAATGTTCAGCATCCTGCTTTGGTGAGTAGCATCTGGAGTCTTAAAAGCTTGTGAGCAGCCATCTAAGATACAACTATGGGTCTCTTCCTGTCTGGAGCAAGGAAGAGTGAAGGAGACCAAAGACTCAAGGAGCAGTTATACCAAAGGACTAATGGACCACATGTACCACAGCCTACACGACCCTGAGACCAGAAGAGCTAAATGGTGCCTGGCTACCACTACCAACTGCTCTGACTAGGATCACAACAGAGGGTCCTGGACAGATCGGGAGAAAATTATAGAACAAAAATTACCAGGCTTGCTGGTCTGACAGAGACTATGGCCCTGAGACACCCTTCTGACCTGGAAATGAAGCCATTCCTGGAGGCTACCTCCCAGCCAAATAATAGACAAGCATATAAGATAAACAATAATACCGAGATGAATGTACTCCTTAGAACAATCAATTACACCATGAGAAGGCAGGAGAGGGTAGATAGATAATCAGGGCAAAAGAAAATGGGGAGACCAGGGCAGAAATGGGGAGAGTGCTAACAGGTTGTGGGGAATGAAACCAAGATCATGAAATACTTTACGTACAAGTTATCAAATAGGAAACTAATTTTCTCTGCAATCCTTCACCTAAAGCACAGTTTTAAAAAAATGTCTAGAATTTTGCGTCAATGCCATGGGGATTACTTTGTTCTTTTTAGTGACTGCAGATGTTGTTGCTGGATTGATATCTACATATAAACACATTACTAATAAAGTGTTTGATGTGTAACTTTTTATAAATTCAAAGCAAAGAAAGTGAAGATGTACCCTGGAGGAATTGGGTGCTTTACCTCAAGGTACTATAAGTGATTTTTAGAAGTGTTAGATAGTTGGAGGAAGAAGTTGTAAAAGTACAGATATTATAATTGATAGATTTAAAACATAGTGTCTTAGTGCTGTTTAATGGAAATACCATAACTGGGTGGCTTTAATGAAATTTATTTTCTCACAGTTTAAGAGGCTAGAAGTTCGAATTCAGGGCACCGGCTCTAGGGGAAGGATTTCTGTCTCAGCTCTGGGGGAAGGTCCATGTCTCTTTTCAGCTTCTGTTCCTCAGTTCCTTGGCAATCTTCATGTGGAGTGGCATCTATCTTCAATAGTTTGTGCCTAATCTGCTCTTTTTGTATCTCAAAAGTAATTGGTTTAAGACATACCCTGCACTGATGTGGTCTCATTAACATAACAAAGAAAATCCTATTCCTAAATGGGATTACATCCACAGGTATAAGAGTTAGAATTCATAACACGTATTTTTTAAGGGGACACGATACAGTCACATAGTAATCAATGGTTAGGAATCCCTGGATGGCACAAACAGTTAAGCATTTGACTACTAACCAAAAGATTGGCGGTTCAGATCCACCCAAGAGGCACCTTGGAAAGACAGGCCTGGCAATCTGCTTCCAAAAAGTTACAGCCTTGAAAACTCTATAGAGTAGTTGTACTCTGCACATATGGGGTCGCCATCAGTTGGAATTGGCTCAGCGCCAACTAACAATAATCAACGTTTAAGAATAATTGACTCGAGAAGAATGTTTCATTAAAACTAAATCACCTTGAATTTAATCAGCTTTCAAAGTATTGGTGAAATGGTTTTATATAGGATATTTTATATTTTAGTAATTAGCAAAAATTGACTAATATGGATTGTACTTAGATCACACTTAGAATGAAATCCAAAGTACATTCCATGGCCTGTGGCTTGTAAGACCTTATATCACGATGAACTCCCTACCATCATCTCTCACTTTCCCCCTTGCTATGTTGCTCATCATACTGGATCTTTGTTGTTCTGCAAATCAGGGCTTCCAACCAGTTCATTCTGGTTTGAACCCCTGCTGAGAATTTGCATTTGCACCCGCAGATATACTGAGTCAGAATCTACAGTTTCACAAGATCACCAGGTGATTCTTATGTATAATAAATTTTGGGAACCACTGCTCTACTAGTGGTTCTCAGAATTGGTCCCTAACCAGTAGCATCAGCATTGCCTGGGAATAGTTAGAAATGCAAAATCTCAGCAGGGGTTCGAACCTGAACGAACTGGTTCAAAGCCCTGCTGCCAACATACCAGACACACTTCCACCTCACAGCTGTTGCATTTGCCATTCCCTCTACCTGAAATCTCTTTCCCAAGATATCCACATGATTTGTTCCCTTACCGCATTCAAGTCTTCATTCAAGTATAAATAATCTGATCAAAGTGGCTTTTCTTGACCATTCAGTCTAAATAACACCACCACCAATTACTCTAACCCAGGGTTGCTCAACCTTGGCACTATTGACATTTCAAGCCTTACAATTCTGTGTTGTGGGGGAGGAGGGTTCCTGTGCATTGTAGGATGTTTATCAGCATCTCTGGCTTCTACCTACTAGATGCCAGGAGCATCGTCTACCCTCTCCCTACCAATTGTGGTGATCAAAAATGTCTCCAGATGTTTCTGAATGCTCCCTAAAATCTGTTGCCTTCAAGCCCTTTCCAAACTCATAACGACCCTATGGAACAGAGTAGAACTGCCCTGTAGGGTTTCCTGGGCTGTAAATCTTCATGGAAGCACGCTGCCACATTTTTCTCCCGAGGAGCAGCTGTTGGGTTCGAACGCCTACCTTTTGGTTAGCAGCCGAGTGCTTAACCACTGTGCCACCAGGGCTCCTGAATGTCCTCTAGGGGAGTCAGAATAGCCCCTAGTCTAACTCCTTACCCTGCTATGTTTTTTCTTCATAGCACTAATGTTATATGGTATTGTTTATTCATACCTTGTATGTTATTTGTTTATTGTCATTAGAATGTGAGCTCCTTGAGAGCAAGACCTCTTTTGTTGGCTGTGGTTATCGCTAGTCCCAAGAATGATACCTAGTAAGGAGTTTTTAAGCAATGTATCAAATAGATGAACTATTCACAATATACTTTCTTGAACAGGGCTCTGGTCATCCTTGAATCAGATTGTTTCCTATTATGAAGATAATTAAATTTACATATGAAAATCAGTGAGGACCTAGAGGAAAAAAAAAGCGTTATTGAACATTAGTATCTGAAGTTGCTGGTGAAAGTCAAACTTTATTCACTAAAAAAATATATACTAAAGTGATTACAACCCTCAGGATATCAGACCTCCTCAATACATTAATTTTTGGTCATCGATCTTTTCTTTTTTCCATTCTTAACAGTTTCAGAATAAGCATCATTCATTTAATCAACACTTAGATGCATATTCTGTTAAAACTGCAATAGCACAAAAAGAAAAAAGTTATTTATAGTATCATGTTAAACATCTACTTTATTCAGTGTTATTTATTTTTATAAACTCTGTTTTGGATTAATGTAAAAAAAAATGGCACTGCAGGTAGTTGCTAAATTTCGGGTGTGCTTTAAATATAGTCAGCACTTATTCATGAAACTATTCTATACATAATGTAAAACCTTGATCTTTCAATTATAATTTACATTTCTCTTTCAAACAACCTTAGGTATCAAACAATAAGAAGGGAAATGATTGTTTAGGAGAGTTTATGAACTGAGGCACAATGAAGAAAAATACTCCTAATAGGTTAACTTATTTCTCCTAAATTTTTTTTTTTCCTTTTTTGCTCGTTTTTACAAAGATCTCAACAGCAATGGATTCATTTGTGACTATGAACTTCATGAACTTTTCAAGGAGGCTAATATGCCATTACCAGGATATAAAGTGAGAGAAATTATTCAAAAACTCATGCTGGATGGTGACCGGAATAAAGATGGGAAGATAAGTTTTGACGAATTTGTTTATGTAAGTATGTTAAAATCCACCATTATTGGAAATAATGATTGTTCCTTTGTCTAATGAGATTTTAATTGTATTAAGTATTATATTAAGTTCCTAAGGATAACATATTAGTACTGTTATTATAACTAATAACACTTCTCTTATCGGGCCCATAAAGTTTAGTTGGGCTTTCTTTTTTAGTCAGTGGACTGTCTTAACAAAAGAATTGAGAAGAAGAACACTGACAGAAAGGAAGAAACAAAACAATGCTCACCATGGGAGGGGAGCAGTCTCCTTTTGGAGCATCATTAAAGGGCATTTTCCTAGTGCTAAACGACATCGTTGAAGTACTTTTTCTCTCTCCCTTGGTGAGCGCTGTGCTCCCAAATTTTAATGATACACCCTGACTCACAGCCTTGGAAGCTTCCTGAGTTGAACTTTCTGATTAAAAATATGTGTTCTACTCTTGTGGTAGTAGTATTTAACTGTAGCATTCTCTCTAGGACGATAATTTTGATAATTAAAAGTTAGAAGTGTATCTTTTTAGTTCATTGGAAGAGGCGTTTAAAATTTTTTTCTGTTCTAGTATCACCAAATACTTCTGAAGGTTAGGGGCTGGTGTCTTTTATTTCTTCTATCCCCCCAAGCACCTAGTTTAGTGCTTGGAGAGTTTAATGTGTGCGGTACATGGTTGGTTATTGAAGCCTAAAATGTTTAGCTGTCAGCAAGTGAGGTCTAGATTTTCCAGACTTTTGCTATTTTCAGTCTGTATTCATTGACAGAGTATTTTAGATATGTATTTTAAAACAGCTGTTGCCTCTTTACTCGATTAAGAATATCGTTAAGATTTTTTAAAATTTCTTGTTCATTTAAAGCTGAACTTGACTATATTTTATTAGGCATTCCTTACGGTATGCTATAAACTAGTAATTAGTGCCTAGTATTTATCACAAACCTAGACCTTCTGGCACTCCTATCCTCTTTTTCCTGCTTTAGTTTTGCTCCAAGACACTTGAAATGGTAGCATATACTCCCATTAGTAACCACGGTTCACTATTGCAAGTGAAATTCTGATATGTTCTCGCCAGTTAGAATTAAATCTTTTAGAACACAGTGATGTTCAATAAGCAAAATTGACTAAGTAATGATTGTCTACTCAGCTGACAGCCTTTGTGAGGATGTTACTATTTAAAAATACAGACTTGTGTCGTAATGGTATGGTTCTTGCCATTGTCTTTTGAAATACTGATTTTCCCCCTACCGTTTTTATCTCCAGTTATTGCCAAAGCCTTTTGTTTTGAATTCTGTGTTGAATAGTAAGTTGCAGTTGATTTGCAATTTGAGCACTTGCATGTCTGATGTATAACTTGCTCCTCTTGTAACTGCATGTTTAATTGTGAATTTAAAGCAGCTGAGAGCTCTGGTGAACTATGATTGGTTGTTTTTAATATATTGCTCATCGTTTTTCAATCTACTAGAAAGAACAGACCCCAAACTTTAAGATTTGCAGTGTGCCAGTATTGTTAAGGACAAAATTATGAAAGTGTCTTCGAGAAACATGATCTTGAGGAGATTTTTTAATTTGTGTATTGGGAAATGTTGCTTTTTCCACACAGCTGTTTGTGGCTTTTAAATGAGGAGATGTAATTACCTTAGTAAATTCCTATGAAGAGCATGCATAATAATTTTGCCATCACCAGGTATTTTTTAAATGAAACATTAATGAGGATAGTTTAGGTAAAAATATACTTTTTTAGAATTGGAAGGAATCAATATGTTTATACTCTTCCATTTTTCAAATAAAAAAAGCTCAGTTCCTAAAAAAGGAAGTGACTTGCGCAACATTACACAGAGGACTAGTGGCTTTTTCCAGTTATCTCCTTGCTATTCAAGAAATTTGAAATATGAAGGTCAGTAAAATAACCTGCCTGAAGTTTCAGAATGGTATTACCATGACTACAGTGAAAGAAAGATGGGTGGTTAATCAAATGTCCACTCTTGTCTACTTTGTCACCAATGAAATATGTTACAAATTATCAAGCAAAATATGGGTAAATCTTAGTTATCTAAGAAATAGGAAGCATGTTATTCCATCATTGTCTTAGTTATCAAGTGCTGCTATAACAGAAATACCACAAGAGGATGGCTTTAACAAAGAGGAATTTATTCTCTCACAGTCTAGGAGGCTAGAAGTCTGAATTCAGGGTGCCACCTCCAGGGGAAGGCTTTCTCTCTCTGTCAACTCTGGGGGAAGGTCCTTGGCATCAGTCTTCCCCTGGTCTAGGACCCCGGGTCCAAAGGACATGCCCCACTCCTGGTTCTTCATTCTTGGTGGTAGGGGGTCGCCTTTCTGTCTGCTCCCTTCTCTACATCTCAAAAGAGATTGATTTAAAACATAACCTAATCTTGTAGGTTGAGTCCTGCCTCATTAACATAACTACTTCTAATCCTGCCTCATTAACCTCATAGAGGTTGGTTTTACAACACATAGGAAAATCACATCTTATGACAAAATGATGGACAATCACAATCAGTTATTAACATCATAAGGAAATAGAAGTAAACACATTCTTACATGTTAGTGTTCTGTTTTTTTTTTTTAATTGCTGCTTAAGGAGTTAATTATAAAGCAGGTTACAAACAAAATCAGTTTGTTAATTTTGGAGAAGATCATATATAGGGAAGAAAAACGTCCTCAAATTATTATATCAACTTCAGATTTTAAAATTTAGTAACAGATTTTGGATTTTGTTTCTTCTCAGCATTTCAAAACTAAATTACTGGGTTTTTATACTTACAAGGTAATAGGATTTATTTTCTTCTGAAAAAGACTGGCATAGCAATAGTTTTTTCAGCAGAGATGTCTGCAGTAAACTCTTATTTTCATGTTAAGAAACCTGCTTTTGCATAATGGTACTAAGTTGTTCACTTGTTTTAGGACTTTTCCTCATCTGGAACAGTGCCAGTCATATAGTAAATGCTATATAGGTATAAGTTGTTCGGGTAGTTTTTTTTTTTTTTTTAAGCAGTCTTCCTTTCCTATTATTACTAAGTTTAGGTCTACAACAAATTCCAAATAAAGGAAAAATTCAAACCCGCTATTTTGGAAACAAGCCCCAAACACTGGAAGCCAATCAATATTATTTTGCAATTCTTTCTGAAATCTTTCCTTCCTCTAAAGTCGTATGCCTCTGGATTGCTTTGGCTACTAGTCCAGTGCTGAGCTAACTCTGGGGTCAAAAGGAGTTAGCTTGTTGCTCAGGGTCTTTGAGAAAAGCAATGAAACTTTTATAAAAGGAATAAGAAACATACCTATTCCATAAAAGAAACTGAAAAAGATGTTTAGAATGGGAGTGGAGATCGCCTCCTGAAAAATATATACCAGGAGTTGCTTGGCAGATGATAAAGCAAGTCCTCCCTCATAGAGGGAAAACAGCACCAAACAGTGAGCTCATTAGTATCACAACAGGCAGCTTTGAAAAGATTCATTGAGGCGACTCCAGCACAGTAGTAGGCCTTGTGTTATCTCTGATTTCAGAGATTCTTGTTAAGCCAAAGCTTATACAGGCATTCCCTGGGTTACCAACATAATCGTCTCCTAAGTGTGTCTTTAAGATTTTGTGGTTAAGTCAGAACAGGTGCATACGGTTCTTATTTAGCCTCATTTTATTACAAGAAAAAGCTCGAAGCCTTTCCAATGATTTAAAGCTGCAAGTGCAGCAGGTGAAGGTGATTGTGATGAAGAATTTGTTTCCAGTATGGTTTGGTTCAGTCATTTCAAAGTAAGGGCAAATTTATATAACATTAAAGGGCATCTATGAGTTATCCTTAAGTCGAACATTTGTAACCCAGGGATTTACTGTACTCAAATCGCTTTGTCATCCACTTGAGAAATATCTTAAGTAGAAAATAAAACGCAAAATTCAAGTCCTCATGTAGGAAAATAATTTAATGGATACATAAATCTTCAATGACCTTTTATACTTTTTTTTTTTTTTTTTTTTTAGTAAATACTGTGAAATTAAAACTTTGAGCTTGGCTGCAGTGATTTATTTAACAATTTTAACTACAACAACAAAATAAGTAAAAATTAAAAAAACAATACTTAGAACCTGAAGGTCATGTGATTTTTGTAAGACGATTGAAAAGTAATGAATTTAATTTACAACTTTCTGTGTCATTCCCAAGCATCAGGAGTTTTAATAGAGCTATGCAAGTAATTACATTAGGATATTATACAGCAGAGGCATTCTTTTTTCATTTGAATTGTTTTTCTTTTTCATGATGTATACAAATTTGGATTTATTTTTCAGCTGAAATTGTGATAATTGAAACAACCTAGTTTTTATAAGCAAATGATCTGTGAGGGAAAAGCAGACATAATTCAGAAAAAAATAACTTTTTATTTCTCATAAGGCAATAACATTTTAGAATTTTTATGTCATTCCAGTGATTTATGGTATGTCAGTCCTGAGGAAATGCACAGCTTTCAGATTTTAAGAGAGAATATTTTTCTAAATGAAGTAGAGTTCAGAATGAAATAGACAAGTAAATATTGCTTTTTCACTGAGCAGATGTATTGTTATCAAAGGAGGAGTGATGGGAACACAGCGTATCACAGTTAAGGCTTTGCTGCTTTCCCAGGTGACCATTTTATTATGTAGTCTTGTCTTGGAAGTTAACATAAATTTAATTAAATTAAAGCTGGACTCAGAGCGGGAGAAAAATGTAAAACAAGATTCAAATTCACAAAAAAAAAAAAAAATACCAGGCTTTCTGGTCTGACAGAGACTGAAGAAACCCCGAGAGTATGGCTCCTAGACACCCTAGCAAAGACGAGAACTCAGGAAGGGACAGGAAAGCTGGATGAATGGAAACAGAGAACCTGGAGTGGAGAAGTGGGGAGTGTTGGCACACTGTGGGATTAGCAACCAATGTCACAAAACAGTTTGTATATTAACTGTTCGGTGAGAAACTAATTTGCTCTGTAAACTTTCACCTAAATCACAATAAAAAAATAAATTAAAAAGACGGGGCTAAGAAAATCAGATTGTAAGTACAAATAAATTTTAATAACTTGAAAATTACCTAGAGTGTGAGTCAGCTCCACACTGTTGGTGCTTAACTGAAGTCAGTATAATGGTCATAGAGGAGGAAGGGTGAGTTCATTAGTTGTCTGTGATATTTAGAGTAACCAGTGTGTATGTGTGTGTCTATATATTTATACACATACAAACACACATACATAGCCATTCAAAAATTCTGCCTTTGAAATTACAAGTATAACATGAAAGTACAGCTATGGAAATGGAGCAAGCTTGATTTTGTAAAACTTACTGCTTACTTACTATTTTCCTAAATCCAGTTGTGTTTTCATAAGTCTAAGGAAAGTCAGGATATAGAAAAAGTAACAGAAAAGGATGACTTTGACAGGGCTGCTGACAGCACAGACAGTGACTTTTTACCAATTACAAAAAGTCACTTTCTCTAGGTGGATTAATTACAAAAAGGCACCCTCCAGGAAAGACTAAATAGAAAAAGGTACTCCTTTCAGCCTGTCACAGTCTTGTGCAAGACACAAGGCTTGGTTAGTGTAGCATGGGCTGGATGTCAGCTCCTTCTCATGCCTTTTCTGACAGGTAGAACCTGAACTGCTGTATACTGTGTCCCTATTCTGTGTACTTCAAACACCGGCTACATCCTCCTGAGGTGTTAGCGTGTATGTGCGTGCGTGTGTTTGTCTATTTGTCAATAATGCTAAAGGCCTTTGAGTTATCTTGCATTTGTTTATGTGTTCAGCAACTTTTCCATCAGGATCATAAGTTTCTTTTGATAAATTCACTTAAATGGTGTTCTCAACACCATTTGAAGAGCTCGGTGGCTCAATGGTTAAGTGCTCCACTGCTAACAGAAAGGTTGGCGGTTCAAACCCACCCAGTGGCTCCATGGAAGAAAGGCCTGGCAATCTGCTCTCATAAAGATTACGGTCTAGAAACCCTATAGGACAGTTCGACTCTGTCACATGGGGTTTCTATGAGTTGAAAATCAACTCGACAGCACCTAGCAATAACAACAACAAACACCATTTGAAGAAATTTTTATATACATCTTGCCCTTGTTTCACTGGCAGTAGCTAATTTGGCCATTCCACTTGCCACAAAGACTCTGTACACATTGGTAGATCAGGAACAAATTCGGAGTTAGGTAAATTTCAGTATTTAGGAAATAAATAGAACTTTAGAATGTCCATTCCGTCAATCAAGTTGTTATACTAGAATGTGGAATTTGCTTTCTTACAACCTGCTCTGATACAATGAGAATGCACAAATTAATTTTATTAACTATATTCTTTATTGTGAAGAGAAGCTGGACTTCATAAACACCCAAACAAGATATTCACTGAAAAGCCTCTTTTCTTGTGTTTATTCTCATAGTCATCTATTGCTGCCAACTTAACATATTTTTTCATGTTATTTTTCTGTAACTTTTTGCTCAATGAACTTTTACTGAGCTACCACATCATACCACAAAAGAGTTTTTTGGTTGAGTCATACATTTTTATCTTTTTTTGTACTAAGAATTTTGGTTAAAGAAAGGAGATTCTTCAACCTATTCTCTCCAGGAAAAGAACAAAGCCTTCCTTGTTCATAGAAAATTAACAGATTTACCTGTGCCTTTGAACCATGCTAGCTTTTGGCTTAAAATGGGTTCTGTGCATGGTAGCACTTAATGTTTTTGACAAGTGTGTGCAGTTGACTTTCTGGTGCTTCATTCTCCATAGCAGTATTGTAGTACTTATTTAGCATTTCAAAATGTCAAGACCCATTTATCACATCTTCTAACACTCATTGCCTATGGGAAAAAATGTAGGCAATCAGAGTATAAAAGAAGATAACTATGCTTATTGTTATGCCTAATTTAAAATTCATTGTGACTCAACAAAATTTTTGAATTAATAGATTTTCCAAGAGGTAAAAAGCAGTGATATTGCCAAAACCTTCCGTAAAGCGATCAACAGGAAGGAAGGGATTTGTGCTCTGGGAGGAACTTCAGAGTTGTCCAGTGAAGGAACACAGCATTCTTATTCAGGTAATCATTTTACATGTGTTAGATTGGCACAATGCACTAAATAGGGTGGATGCTATAATGTCAAGGGTGGGGGCTATAGAAAAACATTGCTCCCTAATTAAGAATACAGTAAAATTCCTTCGTAACATGTATTTGGGCTTGGGACTAACCACTTGCCATAACGGCATTGTAGATGAAGTGTAGTGATAAGCTTTATTACAGCAGAGTCCTATAGTAATATAAATATAATTTTCAAAGAATTTTGTAACGGTTTCATTAAGGATCAGTTAACCCTGCTCTATTATTTTTGTTAGTTTTGTAATTCTTAATAGCTACTGTTTTACACTCACATGTCTGGATTTCCAAAGAGAATAGCCACATGTTTGTGACACTTCACTTTCAGCACTACTGTAGAACTACTTTAGATTTTGGAATCAAATATTTAATCTAGAGTATAAACTAATTTCTTGTTATTCTTCCTAATTTTAGAGGAAGAAAAATATGCTTTCGTTAACTGGATAAACAAAGCTTTGGAAAATGATCCTGATTGTAGGCATGTTATACCAATGAACCCAAATACCGATGATCTGTTCAAAGCTGTTGGTGATGGAATTGTTCTCTGGTAAGAGTTTAACTTGTTTTATAGCCAGATATCCAAAAATAGTCTTCCACATATTTGCTATATCTGTTTCTGGATGCTTAACAGCGTCACCTCATGAAACAATTTGGATTGCAAGTTGGCCAGGCTCTGCCTATTACATTTCATCTCTACGTCTGTCTGTGAAAGCGCCATCAAAAGATGAATCTAAAACTCTCATTTAGATCGGAGACCTCTTAATAGGGAAGCTCTCCATTTCCAATTTCTTCTTGTCACTGAGTATCAGAACAGTAAGACTTTAATTTAAGTGTGTCAGCATCTATTTATTCTAGAGTATAAACCAAACCCGTTGCCGTTGAGTTGATTCCAACTCATAACAACCGTATAGGACAGAGTAGAGCTGCCCCATAGGGCTTCCAAGGAGCTGTTCGTAGAGTTGAACTGCTGACATTTTGGTTAGCAGCTGAGCACGTAACCACTGCACCACCATGGTGCCTTCCAAAGGTGGCAGGGGAATTGGCTACTCTTCAGATCTCACTCTCTTACCTATTTCCTAAAATGCTTTTTTGCTACTGCTGCCCTAGAGCTGGAAATGCTGGTGTTGCAGTGGTTAAGAGCTATGGCTGCTAACCAAAAAGGGCGGCAGTTCAGATCCACCAGGCACTCCTTGGAAACCCTATGGGGCAGTTTTACTCTGTCCTATAGGGTCGCTTTGAGTCGTAATTGACTCGACGGCAGCGGGTTTGGTTTTTGGATTTGCCCTACAGCCAGCAGTGTTTTGGCAGATATGATATAAGATTATCAACAGAATGTCAGTCGATGTTCTTATTTATAGAGGAAGTATAGCATAAGAATTAGGAGCACGCTCCATAATCGGTCTGCCTGGGTTCATATTCAGGCTCTGGCACTCAGTGGCTATGCAACTGTCGTCAAAGATATGTAACCCTTTCAGTTTCCATGTCTCTTATGATCCCTATTTTATTGTATTTACCTCACAAAGCTATTGGGAGCATTAAGCTACTACATACAAAGTGCTTAAAAAACCCAAACCTGTTGCCATCGAGTCATTTCCGACTCATAGCGACCCTACAGGACAGAGTAGAACTGCCCCATAGGGTTTCCAGGGAGCGACTGGTGGATTCAAACTGCCAACCCTTTGGTTAGCAGCCTGAGCTCTTAACCGCTGCACCACCAGGGCTCCATAAAGTGCTTAGAACAGTGCAGTATATATATTTCAGATGACAGTGTGCAAGGTATAAAATTATATTCTGTGTTAGTAATAAAGAGATTTTGATTGAAAACTGTAAGACATTCTTTTTCGTCCATTTATAGTTACTTAAAGACATAAGTTTCCCATATATTTTAATAGAGAGATAATCGTATGGTACTATATATTTAGTAATTAAATTTTGCATACAAAGAAACACGGTTTCCCTATGCAGAATAAAATTCATTAGGGTAGTATTATACATGCATAACTACAATGTTAGAGACTAACTCCAGATTTTCACTGAATGTGATTCTTCCTAATAGGGTCACAGATTGTAGCATAACTAAACTAACTTTCCTTTCTCTCACTACTATATCACCAGCCCCAAATAGAGTTCCTGGCTTGTCGTTTTGGCACTCGACAAATATTTGGTGAATGAAAGAATCTCATGCTCAACTAAGTTTACCTCTCCATGGATAAATGGAAATTTGTAATTGTGCATTATATAATCTAGATGAGATTCAAGTTTTCAATGTAGAATTTTGTCTTTTTAAAGTATTTATTCAGTAAAGGTCAGTTTTTTAAACATCCACATTATTCATTCTCAAAGAGAATGTAGAAAGTACAAACAAAAAAATTTAATGAGAAGGTTTACCCTGCTCCCCTACTCAGGAATACCCAACTATTTTAAACATTTTAGTCTTTTTTCAAAATGTGTGTTTTTCACATGTGTAGGGGTTTTTTGTGTGTGATAAACATGATAAGAGGTCATATATTACATTTATTTTTTGCCAGTTAAACGAGAGACATGTTATATTTCTTAAAGTATTTGTGAATATTTACAGACTCTTTCAAAGCAAATTGACTCATTTTCATTTGTTTTGTTAGTAAAATGATTAACCTTTCCGTTCCTGATACAATTGATGAAAGAGCAATCAACAAGAAGAAACTCACACCTTTTATCATTCAGGTATGGTTGCTTTCTCCTCTCCCTTCCATGAAACTACTACTTGAGGGCCTGCTCTACATACCGTATGCTCTGCCCTTTATATATTCTCATTTAATCATCATCACACCTCTGAGTTTGGCATTAATATCTAGATTTATAGAGAGAAGAGCTGAAACTCAGAAAGGTTTCCATACGTACTCGAGGTGACTAACTCACTATGTTGGAACTGAGATACAAATCTAGGTCTAACTCCAGTCCTGTTTTCATTATGTAGTCCTGTGTTCAAACACTGCAGGAATACTTAAGTATGGCATGCTTAAGACATAGAACATTTTTCTTTTCCGTCAAGTGATTATTAGACTATTAGATAACAAAATCCACACAGGCAAGAACACCCCTTGGAATGTGCATATTGGTAACTTCTGAAACTCTTTCAGGTGTATATAATACTATTTGTATTAGGTATTTTTAGAAATATGGCAGTTTACCTACAAGGATATATTTACTATGGTCACTACTAAGCCTTTTCCTTCAATATCAGTATACTACAAAAGGGACCAAATCCAAATAAAAATACCAAGTTAGCTTTCCATGGAATTCTGTAAGAGACAATAGCAATAAGGCTGGGATTCATCTTTGTTGTGCTTTTTACAGCCAAAGTCTGGAATTTGTTTTCCATGGATCATTTATAGGTGAAATTAACACAGGACATTAATTTCCTCATTGAGTGTTATTTTCACTGAAGGGAGTAGACTGCTAGGCGATGGAAAGGTCAAGAACAAGTGTGTAATTTGGCTGTCTTGCAGGAAAACTTGAACTTGGCACTGAACTCTGCTTCTGCCATTGGGTGTCACGTTGTGAACATTGGTGCAGAGGATTTGCGGGCTGGGAAGCCTCATCTGGTTTTGGGACTGCTTTGGCAGATCATTAAGATCGGTTTGTTTGCTGATATTGAATTAAGCAGGAATGAAGGTACTGGAACACAGTCATTATTTTAAAAGTTCTTTACTGGTTATTTTTTTCTTAGTCATGGTGTCTGTCATGCTTTCATTTAATTGAGGTGATTAAATGATAACTAGAATTAACATAAGGTAATGAATGTTATAGTGTTATTCAGGAAAACAGCCTAATTATAAATCTCTTCTTTAGTATTAACTAACGTTTGTCTGGCACTTTATAATTCATTTTACAGTAAAGATACAACGGCACAAAGAGGTTAAGGAATTTTCCCAGGGTCCCAAAACTTGATGTCTGGTCTCTTCAGCTCTGCCCACATACCCCTACCTCATCACCACCCTCAACTCCACCACTGTGCACCATCTCTATGATTTTAATTCCTGTTATATTCTGTCATAGATATATACCTCTTCAAAAATCCTAATGTTGATGGTGTCCCATTTCCTGAACCAGTGAAAGTTATCACCCTTCTTATAGATAGGTTTTTATATCGCATCATGGAGTTTTAGAATTGTGTAAGCATATGTGATGCAATTGTCACCTGGTCCTAGGGAGTATTGCATTGTCCTCCCCCTATAAAAGTGTAAAATATTGAGCACCACTCCACATATTCATATTTTATTCCAAAAGTCCCCAGCATCACCACCACAATTCTCACGTTGGGAGAAGACTGTATATTTGGGATTCTCAGTATTTTCAAAGTTTCACAATGTCTGTCAACAGCCTTATTTTGCATGTTTATACATAATAAGACTTTTTTTTTGCACTTTCAAGACTTTGTTACACTTATACTTTCAGTCCACTTAAAGGTACCTACTTTTGAGTGAAAAAATTATTCTAGTTGTTAGCGTTCTTGACAATGATGGTTATCTTGTTAAAGAAGTTGAAGTCCATTTACAAAAGAAGGAAGGAAAACAAAATTACATGGACTCGTGCCATAAATCATTTATCTTTGGCAAGGTCTCAGGTACATAATGGCAGGCTATTTAATCCTGTCTAGCCTCTGATTTGGTGGCAGTGGGAAGCAGAAGGAGGATACTGTAAAAATGGCCACACGACCTCTACTGTTGTATAAATCCCTGAGTGCCAAAATGACATGGTATGAAGCAGAATCCATCAAAGATGACATTTGCCTGATGTAGGTATTCCTTCGACCTCTTCAGAAATCTGGCAATTTCAGTCTTCCTGTTCAATAGAAATCCCCTTCAGTTTATGAAAGGTAATTATTGAATAAGGATTGCATAACTTCTTCTTAAAACTATGTTTACATTTAGACAGTTCTCTGTAGAAACACCCAAGCTTTCACCTATTACCTATGGGAATATGTACTCAAAAACCATTGGCTTCTTCCACACGTTCAATTTCAATTCAACAAAAAAAATCAAGCAGTCTTTACATATTAGATGCTACCAAAAATGTAAAGTTGAATGATACTCCTTTTAAAATATGCATAGGCCCTTCAAGAGTTGACTGATTATAGTCAAATATAAATACCGTAGTGTTCCTGTACTCCTTTAATCAAAAGGTTAATGAAATTTTTCCCAATTTTTAAAGATCCTCCACTAAATCAATGCTTTTAAAATTATTAAATAAGAACAATTTATGTAAATATATGACATGATGTGAAAATGTTAAGCTATAACCTCATTTGGTATTTGGAATGTGAAAAATAATAAAAAAGAAGAAATAAATATATATCTGCTTTATAGTCTCATAATACCATGTTTTTATTTCTGTCATTTTGTATTATAATTATCTACTTACATATTTCTCTTTTCTGTTAGGTTGTAAACACCTTGAAACCAGGAGCTATGTCGTAACTAGGTCTCAAAAGACTGAATGAATTTGTAATGACCATTATCATATCATACATTGAGTGTGGGATTTTTTTTTTTTTTTAATAGCCTTGGCTGCTTTACTTCGAGATGGTGAGACTTTGGAGGAGCTTATGAAATTGTCTCCGGAAGAGCTTCTGCTTCGATGGGCAAACTTTCATTTGGAAAACTCAGGCTGGCAAAAAATCAACAACTTCAGTGCTGACATCAAGGTAACTATGCAAAGAACCCTAACATTTTGGGGGTTCAAAAGTGGCTTGGCGGAAGATTTCATCCACCTTAATAAAGGAGAGATCCTAACGGTATATCAGCAAGCCTTGTTGTCTCTTGGCCCTGACGGCAGATTTCAGGAGAGAGGTGTAGCCAAGTAAAGAGCACAAGCTCCAAGTCTGTCTTTCATTTTGTAGAAAAGGATAGACTCATCTATTCTAGTCATAACTTTTTACATTCTGCCTTTTGTTGAACATGGAGTATAAAGAGATGAAAAGTGACCATTCTCTTCCTGACTGCCTTTCCCAGGCCTCAGTGTACCTGTTCATAAAGACCTAGAAGAGGGAGGAAGGGCATTGAGATTCCTCTTCACCTTTCGATTTGGCTTCTCTCCTGTCATGTTCCCCAACCTTTAGATATTGAGTTCCTTGAAGGTAGTAATGAGCTCTTATTTATGTCTGTGTCCCCTACCTTAGCCCATGCCCCAGTGCTCTCCCACTAAAGCCCACCTCTGACACAGTATCTGGCACACATATTGTCGTTGTTAGCTGGCATCAAGTCGTCCCCAACTCAGGGTGACCCCATGCACAATGAAACAAAATGCTGCCCAGTCCTGCACCATCCCCATGATTGGTTATGAATTGAACCATTGTGATCCATAGGGTGCTCACTGGCTGATTTTCAGAAGTAGATCTCTAGGCCTTTCTTCCTAGTCTGTCTTAGTCTGGAAGGTCCACTGAAACCTGTCCAGCACCATAGCAATACGCAGGCCTCCATGGACAGACGGGTGGTGGGTTGTGCATGAGGTGCATTGGCTGGGAATCAAAGCTGGGTCTCCTGAATGAAAGGCAAGAATTCTACCACTTCACTGCCGCCACACCTGCTACACATAAAACCATCAAATATTTCTTGTGTTGAACTGAATTTTGGCACTTCCTGCTTACCACGAGCAGTAGGGAAACTAGCAACTGAGGGAGAGAGACATTGGTTGCATTCATTTACTACACGTTGCCTTTGGTTTCTCAGGGACCCAAAACCAAACTCGTTGCCACTGAGTCGATTCTGAATCATAGCAACCCTATAGGACAGAGTACAACTGCCCCATAGGGTTTCCAAGGAACTGCTGGGTGGATTCAAACTGCCGACCTTTTGGTTAGTGGCCAAGCGCTTAACCATTGTGCCACCAGGCTCCTTTCAGGGATAAAACCAAAAAAACCAAACCTGTTGTCATGGAGTCAGTTCTGACTCCTAGTGACCCTGTAGGACAAAGTAGGACTGCCCCATAGGGTTTCCAAGGAGGGCCAAAATTACCGTAGCAAATATTATGGAGTTCTCATTAACTGATTCAACCCTCTCTAAAATCCAGATGTTTGGGATATAGGGAACAAACTTGAGGGTCTTCATCATATGGCACGAACCAATCATAGGGTCGACGGGGTATGAAAACAATATTCTGTGATCATATCAATTTGTCCAGTGGTGAGAGGAAGCAATGGGATATTTGTACTAGTGATTTCATCAGTAAAAATGAAGGGTATCCCCAAATTTATAAAGCCAACTAACCTCACACATTCTTTTGACTTATACAACAACTTTAGCCAGGTAAATTTTGCTTTATGCATTAGTGTTCCTGAAAACCATTTGTAAATAGATTTTACACAATGGGCTATGTTTTAAATGTACAAGAGAAAACGTTTTTAAATGAAACCTGCTTTGCATATTTTTTAACCTTTTAATTTATTTCCTTTTAATCTCTTTCCATATAGATATTTCCATCATGTGATCATATTTTCTCTTTTTTTCCATGTAATACCATTATAGAAGCTTTCTGTTGCTATTGATAATTCTCAGAAGACATTATTTGAAATTGCTGCATCACATGCACATACTTTGCTGTACTCAACCACTTCTCTGTGGTTGGATATTGAAGGTTTTTATGATTTTGTTTTATAAATACCATTGCAGTGAACAACATTATAAAGCTATGTGTGTTTTGGATCACTTTCCAAAATACTTTTAAGGCTTTTTGTGGTTTTAAAATATGTCTGCAATTTCTTTGTTATGCGTTCCTTTAAGAGATGGCTTTTAATTCCCCTCCTTTTGAGTGTGAGCTGGACTTAGTGACTCATCTCTAATGAATAGAATATGGCAAAAGTGATGGTGTGTATTTGGAGACTGTCGGAAAAGGTCTGCGACTTCCTGCTTACTCTCTGCTTTGAATATTTTTAAAAAGCAAAGGATTGACTGGTAATAGGAAAAGTAACTTCCAATTTATCCAAGTTCAGTTTTTCACCTGTAAACCCTCTTTCGGGGTTGTTAATGCTGACTCTTCCGGGTCTGTTTATTATTCTTCTGGTTAAGAGCTTAGCTGCTGACCAAAATGTCAACAGTTTGAGTCTACCAGCTGCTCTTTGGAAACCCCACGGGGCAGTTCTACTCTGTCCTATAGGGTCGCTATGAGTTGGAATCGACTCGACGGCAACGGGTTTTAGTTCTCAAGTGCATAGGATTAGATTATGAATTGCTTATGTACTTTTAGCAGGTAATTGTAAGTGAAAGGATTTTCAAAACTGCAATGCACTTATTCCTTAGAAGGAGGTACATCCTATGCCTCCTGATGGCAGGATTTGAGTTTGCATTTCATGAATTGTTCTGAAATGGCTTTCACTCACCTGATTTTCACCCTTCATAGAATCATTTATGACACTGTGTGTCAGCTCACTTGGGTAGCTGGTTGAAGGTGCACTTTCCTGGACAGCTCTCAGAGTCAGATTTGGCAGATCTGGGATTGGATCCAGTAATCTGTATATTGAGGAAATTCCCCCAGGGGATTAGAATGCACATAGTCTAATGCTCCTTTATGTCTCTCTGGATTTTCAAGGCCCATTAATAGAAACCTACTATAGCTGGGAGGGTGGTCTTCATAAATCATGAGGCAGAATTATGGACTCTTGACTCAGAAATTTCCTTTTCTGGTATTGCAGAGAGGCAGAATTTTACTTGGCACATGTGTAATGACACTTACGACAAGTGTTTGCATTAGTACAGTGGTTTTCAAGCTGTTTTCTCTGGAGTGTCCACACCCCAAATTCACCCACCCCACAGCACCCCATCCACCCCCAACATGAGGAGTTCCACCTTGTTTTACATTTTGGGATTCCAAGTAAACTTTCAAGTGATGAAAGAGTTCTGTGGCTTAAAACAAAAGAAATAACTTGTTTCGTTAAGTATATTCAGATTCATAAAGGGTTAAATGATATTTCACGAACTGAAAATGCTTCTCATTTAAAACATTTTGTCAATTAAATACATCTTTAGCACAACTGGAAACACTGGTGGCGTAGTGGTTAAGAGCTATGGTTGCTAACCAAAAGGTCGGCAGTTGGAATCCACCAGGAGCTCCTTGGAAACCCTATGGGGCAGTTCTCTGTCCTATAGGATCGCTGTGAGTCGGAATTGACTCAACAGCAATGGTTTGGTTGTTGTTGTTGTTTTGGTTAACACAACTAATCTCTTCTCCACAGGTTATGGTATATCTGGTGCTTTGTAATGATGTAACCTGTTTATTTTCTCTCTCTTTATGCTTCCTGGATTTCTGCTCTCCTGCTTCCTTTTTCTTGCTCATTTTATCTATCAAGCTTATTGACTTCAGTAATTCAGTGAAGGTACAGAACTAGTTTTGTGTTTACAAGCATTATTATATTGATGACTTCAATAAATTGTAAAGTCACATCAAAATCCAGTTTATCCTTGTTGAAGATAGATCTAAGACCAGACTGATGGGCTTCCCTGGGGAAAAGAACTGTTAAAATAGAAGACAGAGATTTGTGCCATATATTCTTAACAAAATCTAATGCAAATATCCTTCCAAATATGGGACAATAGGATACATTCATTCTTTGTAAATATGATCCCGCTTACTTTTTCAATTCATTTGTAGGATTCCAAAGCCTATTTCCATCTTCTCAATCAAATTGCACCAAAAGGACAAAAAGAAGGTGAACCACGGATAGATATTAACATGTCAGGTTTCAACGTAAGTATAGGTGTTCTTTTGATTTCTACAGTCTTACAAAATGTTTGTCAATTTCTTACAAATACAGTAATTTTTTAATTGCAGTCAATGATGTTGACAATTTTAAGCATTATTTTTAAAATTTATTACTGTGTAATTTAGAGGTAAAAAGATATGCTTTGATTTATTTTGATAGTTTATCAGTGCGTTCCATAATCATGCTGATGTTCAAAGCGCCATCTGAGCCAAATGTGGTGAAAGTGAAATATAAGTACTATTTAGGGCTAACCTTTTCTAAGTATTTGGAATATCACCACAGTAGTAGATTTAATGAATACATATTCATATATGCAGCTATAATGTTCTTGCATTAGGGGTAGTGTGAATATGTGTACAAACTTCTGATCCATGAATTCCAATTTGGGAAACCACTGTCATTGATCATGTTCCTTGGTTATGTCACTTAATTTGTTCAGTGACCTTGGACAAGTTCCTTCCCAAAATTGGATTCCACTTTGCTCATCTATGAAGTAAGAAGTTGGACTAGACCATTAAATTCCTTTCAGCTCTAAGTTTCTAGGATTCTGTGGTTCTTTTTCCCACTAGATATGGAATGCATTCTAGTAATTAACAAAATCCATATGCCTAGCTTATACTAGGATTATACTGAATAAACCATTTACACTGCCCCTACCGGTGCGGAATTTGTAACTGACTTGAGTGCTTATGTTTCTTTCTGTGTGTTAAATGTAAAGCTCTTGGGCTCATATCACTCTTGGTTGGGTTAAGGGCCCATCATGTGCAGTAAGAAAGCTATCTGTGATGGCTAGCCAGGTAACTTTATGCCTGGGTAGATGGCACCAGTATTCTAACTGGTCTCTGTGATTCTGATATAGCCTTTCTCCAGTTAATCCTCCCTGATTGATCTTCTTAAGACACACCTGTATGTGTTTTCTCCTCCGAATCCTTCAAGGATTCCCCCCATTGACTCTAGAATTCAGTTTGAAATGCTTGGCTTAGCATTTAAGGCCCTACACAGTCTTACTCCACTACTCCTAAACCAGTTGCTGTCCAGTTGACTCTGACTCGTGGAAACTCTGTGTGTATCAGAGTAGGACTGTGCTCCATAGGGTTTTCAGTGACTGGTTTTTCAGAAGTAGATCACTAGGCCTTTCTTCCAAGGTGCCTCCGGGTTGACTCGAATCACAACCTTTCGGTTAACAGCCAAGCACGTTAACCATTTGCACCACGCAGGGACTTCCATCACTCCTAGCCAGTGTTATTTCCCATTACTCTGCACCAGCCCCCCAACCTTTCGCATCCCACCACCATCCAAGTGCCTCAGTCTTCCCCACTCACTTTACCTTTTAGCCTTTGCTCATGCTTTTCCCTTGTTTTCCAGGGTCCTTCATCTTTCTCAGTTTTACACCTACTTCAGGACCTAATTAAAAAATCTAAAGTGTTTTAGCTTTCTTCTTGATGTATTTGGGTAAATGTGTTCTTTAGTTAGCTAAATCATCTGGTGCCATCTAGGGTATTTTCAAGGTACTGCATATCCAGCTTAGCCAACTTTGTTTTTTTTTTTTTTTTGCATTCCAAACAATTTTATAATCAGTACCATATGTTGGCTAAGAGAAAGTAGAATTGTATATCTAGCCTATCATTGTAGGGAAACATTTCTATATTTTAGTATGGCCTTTTTAAAAATCTTCTTATTTTACTTAAACAGGAAACAGATGATTTGAAGAGAGCTGAGAGTATGCTTCAGCAAGCAGACAAATTAGGTTGCAGACAGTTTGTTACCCCTGCTGATGTTGTCAGTGGAAATCCCAAACTGAACTTGGCCTTTGTGGCTAACCTGTTTAATAAATACCCAGCACTAACTAAGCCAGAGAACCAGGATATTGACTGGACTCTATTAGAAGGTAACTCAAGATATTTCAAATTCTAATGTTGGGACTATAGGATGATTTCAGAATCCTGACTTAGTTTTCTTTATCCAGTTTCCTTAAGCAAATATCTGCGAGAAGTAGACGTAAGTGATGAACTTTTTAAAAGTCAAGTTGTCTGTGGTCACTTAGGGTAAGACCATTTAGTAAACCAATGATTTGGTTTGTTTTAATATTTGAAGGTTAAACCACTTTTTAAACCTCTTACCTAAAAAATTCACATATGCATAAAATTTTACCTATACTTTTATAGTATATATATTTATATTATATATAAATATTTCATTCTTCCACAGTCAGTAACTGGAACAAGCCCTCGCTTTTTTCACCCATACCTCCTCAAAAAAATTATAATATATGGTAATTATTTAAGTTTGGGAAAGGCAGAGTTTATATTTTCCAGAGTATATGTGTATGAAGTGTAATATTTAAAAATTAGCAAATGCAATTAGTTCATTGGGTGTCCAGTGGCATTACTATACAATCTTTTAGTTTTATGCTTTTGAAGTTTCAGGTAATTCATTCCTTTAACATAGGCATGTGAAAGTAGTAATCATGTGTAGTTTGGTGTTTTAAAAGTGAATAGAGGGTGTGTATATTTTCACCACAATTTAGAAAAAAAGGGAAAAGTAGAAAGAAAACTTAAATTTATGTGAGTGTAGGTTCATATGAACATAGAAAAGTTTTTAAAATATAAACTAAACTGATAACATCGATTACTTTGAGGTATGGGATTTGAGGGAGACACTGAAGAAGGATTAGTGGGAGAAGGTGATATAAAAAGTTCATAAACCTCTGAGTTGCTTAACTGATTATAAGTGTATATTCTTTAATTTTAACATAAACTCAACAAATAAAAAATACAAGCATGTATCTAGATAGAATGTATGAAAATTCATGTTGGAGAAAACTTGTAGATCTGAATAGAGCAGGTAAAATAATCTCATGTATGCATTACAGTACATACACATATATAAGATGTTTAAAAATAGATTTTGTGACTACCTTTAATAGGTGAAACTCGTGAAGAAAGAACCTTCCGTAACTGGATGAACTCTCTCGGTGTTAATCCCCATGTAAACCATCTCTATGCGTAAGTCTTCCTACTACTATTGTAAACATTTATGGGCATCATGAATGGATTCTACAAAGATAATTTAAGCTCTAAAAATTTTCTAGCTGTTAATTTGTAGCAAGTATTTATATAAGAAAATTGAGTGATGACTTCCACCATGATTTGCCTAATACATGAAAGCCCAAATTATTTCTTACATGATCCTTAATTATGAGTGATAGACCGTGTAAATGTCTTACTACCCTAGGGAGCAGATACTTTTTGTTTTGACTAGGGAATATCTTAGGGAGAATATTCATGATGCCTCAGGGCCTTTGTGCTTAAGGTTTTCTTGGCCTAGAATGTTCTTTGCCCACATCTGCTCTTGCTCACTACCTTATTGTATTCAAACCACCAATTCAGAGAGGAGACTTTTCCTGACTACAACCTGTGACTCTCTAACTCTAACCCTAGTTCTTTTTTTTAATTGTGATTTAGGTGCAAGTTTACAGAGCAAATTAGTTTTTCATTAAACAGTTAACACACAAATTGTTTTGTGACATTGGTTGCCAACCCTGCAATGTGTCAACACTCCCCTTCTCCACCCTGGGTTCCCTGTTTCCATTCATCCAGTTTTCCTGTCTCTTCCTGCCTTCTCATCTTTCCTTTTGGTCTGGTGTGCCCCTTAGTCTCCTATACATGATTGAACTGTGAAGCATGTCCCTCATGTGTGTTGCTGTTGGTCCTACAGACCTAATTCCTTTTTTGTAGCACTTAACATATACCCCCAAAATCATATTATATATTTATCCATGTACATGTTTATTATCTTATCTTTCCGACTGTAATGTAGGGACAGAGATTTATGTCCTGTGTGCCTGGCCTCTAGAATAGTGCCTTGCTTGCAATACCCTCTCAATAAATACTATTAAGTGAATAGGATCGTCTTACCTCTATTTTCAACACAGGTTGATAGAAAATATGAATGTTGGGGTTCATCTATTTTGTTTGACAGTGTAGTGTTATTGTTTTTTAAGGACAGCAAAAGCCCAGCTGTCTGAAAACACTGATTAAATTATTTTTAAATCTGTTAGTGACCTGCAAGATGCCCTGGTAATCTTACAGTTGTATGAACGAATTAAAGTTCCTGTTGACTGGAGTAAAGTTAATAAACCTCCATACCCGAAACTTGGAGCCAACATGAAAAAGGTAGATACTTCATTAAGTTGCTACATGTTGTTGTTACAGAGTATTTTTATTCTCTCTCTTTTTTTTTAAATACTATGTTTTTGGTGAAAGTTTACACAAAAGATTAGGTTCTCATTTAACAATTTCTGTACTTACTGTTTTGGTGCCCTGGTGGCACAGTACCTAAGAGCTCAGCTGCTAACCAAAAGGTCAGCAGTTTGAATCCCCCAGCTACTCCTTGGAAACCCTATGGGGCAGTTCTACTCTGTCCTATAGGGTCGCTATGAGTCAGAATTGACTCGATGGCAACGGTTTTTTTTTTTTTAATATATATATACTTACTATTCAGTGACTTTGGTTACATTTTTCACAATTTGTCAGCATTCTCATTATTTCCATTCTGGTTGTTCTGATTCCAGTAATCTAATATCCCTGTCTTCCCTTACCTTCTCATCTTTGGTCTAGGGTAAATGTTTACTATTTGGTTTCATTTAGATGATTATATAGAGCAGCACAGTACCCACAGGTGATATTATTTATTTTATGAGCCAGTCTGTCAGTTGGTTAAAAGGTGACCTCCGGGAGTGGTTTAATTTCCAAGTTGAAAGGGTATCCCAGGGCTCTCAATTTGTTTTTATTTTATTTTGAAAACTCTTAACGCTACGCTTCTTGAGGACAGGAACTGTGTCTTACTTACTTTTGTGTCCTAGGTACTTAGCACCACACACACACACACACACACACACACACACACACACACACACACACACACACGCAGATTAAACAAATGAAAATCTTTAACCATTTACGTTTGTGTGTTTACAGCTAGAAAACTGCAACTATGCTGTTGAATTAGGGAAACATCCTGCCAAATTCTCACTGGTTGGCATTGGAGGGCAAGATTTGAATGATGGAAACCAAACCCTGACTTTAGCTTTAGTTTGGCAGCTGATGCGAAGGTATAGTATACAGTTTTAAAGCTTCACTATAATACAGGTGTGTGATCTAATTGTTATTTTTAAGCAAACACAATGATTGCAGCTTTGAAATGTATTCTATTACTACTCCGAAGTGAACTTCCAAAAACACCCATTGCCATCTAGTCAACTCTGGCTCATAGCGACCTTATAGGACAAAATAGAACTGCCCATAGGATTTCCAAGGCTGTAAATCTTTACAGAAGCAGAATGCTGCGTCTTTCTCCCCCAGAGCGGCTGGTGGGTTAGAACCACCGACCTTTTGGTTAGCAGCTCAGCACTTAACCGCTGTACCACCAGGGCCCCGAAGTGAGCTTAAATGATGACTAGTTATATGGGTTATTCAGTGGAAGATGGCTCTGAGTAAGTTAGACAGCAGAACTGTGAATATTCTATTTTTCATGGGAAGCCTGATACGGGGATTTAAAGCCTCATTTAGTGTCAGTAAGTAAAGAAATTGTCAGAAAAAATTATGAGCTTCCTCATATATCCATCAGAAACAACATCTCTTAACTGTAATGCAGAAGAGCATTCATTATGTCTGGGTACCAGCCAAAGCACAGCTGATTTGAAGTCATTACCACTGTTGGAATAGTACAAAATGTGCTTGTGGTAGGTAGACTGATGGGCTTGCTCATTAAAGCACCACAAATCTTCCCTCCCATCACCACACAGAGGACATCAGTGGCAAGCCACTACTACTTGAAATACTTTTTTTCATGTAGTGTGAATTTTTTCCATGGAATTTTTAGTCTTTCAAACCTAAGGAATAAAAGAAATAGAAGCCAAAACATCATTCTAATGAAGGTCCTTGGGTGGCACGAACAGTTTGCACTCGACTACTAACCTCAAGGTTGGTAGTTCGAACCCACCCAATAGCACCACAGAAAAAAGGCCTGACAATCTGCTTCCGTAAAGATTACAGCTAAGAAAACCCTATGGAGCAGTTCTACTCTGTAACACACGGGGTTGCCATAAGTTGAAATCAACTCAGTAGCAACGAGTATGTAATATTTGCATTTTTTCTCCTAAAGTGGATTGTGGCCTTTTCTCCTGCTGCTTCTCTTAGATATACCCTAAATGTCCTGGAAGATCTTGGAGAGGGTCAAAAAGCTAATGACGACATCATTGTAAACTGGGTGAACAGAACATTGAGGGAAGCTGGAAAATCAACTTCCATTCAGAGTTTTAAGGTAAGAATCCTTAACTACTGAACGTTATGTTTGCTAGATATGTACAATGTGAAAGAACAACCTTTGGTTTCTTTATGAGTGAGAATTATTGTTGAACTAATGGCAGGATTCTCTTTTAATTGGCTGGGCTTTGTTTTTGGCACTTTGTATAAGTAACCACATAGCAATTTGTACATAATGAAATTCTCACATTTGTTATCCTCTTACATTAGGACAAGACGATCAGCTCCAGTTTGGCAGTTGTGGATTTAATTGATGCCATCCAGCCAGGTTGTATTAACTATGACCTCGTTAAGAGTGGCAGTCTAACAGAAGATGACAAGCACAATAATGCCAAGTAAGGGAACCTGCACAATATCATGGATTGAGCACGGGCTTTGCAAGCAGGCAGATATGAATTCTGATTCAGGCTCTACCACGTAAGAGTGTTGTCACTTGGGAGATCCCTTTGTGAATCTCAGTTTCCTCATTAGTAAAACAGGGGCAATAATAGTTACTTTAGAGGTTTTGTAAACATTAAATGAAAAAATGTAAGTAAAGGGTTTAGCATTGTACCTGACACCTAGTAAGTGCTCAATTAATTATTGTTTTAGTGGATTACAGAAATAATGTAATATGTATAAATTTTTTAAATAATATTTTATTGTGTTGTAGGTGAAAGTTTACAAAGCAAATTAGGTTCCCCTTTAAAAATTTTTGTACAAATTGTTCCATGCTATTGGTTACAATTTTTACAATGTTGTCAGCATTCTGATTGTTTCCATTCTGTTTGTTCTGTTTCCATTGATCTAGCTTCCCTTCCCCCTCCGTGCCTTCTCATCTTTGCCTTTGGGTAAATGTTGATCATTTGGTCTCATTGTTCTTGGTCTCATATTGTTCATAGTTTAAGGGAGCACATTACTTATGGGTGATACTGTTTATTTTATAAGCCAATCTATTATTTGGCTGAAAGGTGGCCTGCAGAAATAATTTCAATTCCTAGCTCAAAGGTTATCTTAGGGTGGTAGTTTCCGGGGTTCCTGTAGTGTCTATTGGTCCAGTAGGTCTGGCCTTTTTTTAGGAATTTGAGTGTTGTTCTACATTTTCCTCCCATTCTCTCCGGGACCTTCTGTTGTGTCCCTGGTCAGAACGGTTGGTAATGGTAGCCAGGCACCATCTAGTTCTGCTCTCAGGTTAGAAGAGGCTGTGGTTCGTGTGGGCTGTTAGTCCTATGGACTAGTTTCTTTGAGCCTTTGATTTCTTCATTCTCTTTTGCTCCATAGGAGTAAAGATAGTTGTATCTTGGATGGCTGCTCGCAAGCTTTTAAGACCCCAGACACTACTCACCAAACTAGGATGTAGAAGATTATCTTCATGAACTATGTTATGCCAGTTGACTAAGTTGTCCCATGAGACTAGGTCCCAAGCCTTTTGACCCAGTAAACCACTGTGGTTTGTGCTGCATATATTTCCACATATGTAACAAACCACATAGAGTGCACAGTTACAGAGGATTGCTAGACATATCCAAACAACTTGCAAGATTGGAGCCCTGGTGGGTCGACAGTTTGAATCCACCAACCACTTCCTGGAAACCAGATACGGCAGTTCTGCTCTGTCCTATAGGGTTACTATGAGTTGGAGTCGACTCAGCGGCAGTGGTTTGGTTTTGGATATGCAGCACATGTAAACATGTATATACATATGCCTACAGATATACCTATAAACCATAGACAAAAACTAACTCAAAGTGGATCAAAGACCTAAATGTAAAACCTAAAACTATAAATATCATGTAATAAAAAATAGGAACAGGCCCCCAGACACCCTTTTAGCTCAGTGGTGAAGTTACCTCTGAGGTTCACTGTTCAGCCTGGGAGTGGACAGCCCCATAAAACCAAATGAGACTAACAAGGTACAGGAGTCCAGTGACAAGGGCCAGAAGGCAGAAGGGGACAAGGAAGCTGGTGA